AAAAAAAAAGACTAAAGATAGTTTTCCTATAAACTAAAGGATGAAATGTTTTCTTCTACAAGGACAGAAAGCCTTGTGCAGCTCATATACATATATAAGCAAACACCCAGGCCACTCTGTAGCAGACAGTTTCATGAGGACCCAGCTGCAAATTAGTGCAAGGAATGGGACTGGCAGCTGGCCATTCCCCTGCCTCACTCAGTGTTTAGTCACCCTAGCCACCCCTGAAATAATCTGGCCTATTCACATCTCTTCCTCTTCTCTTCTTGCTCATGTTTAGAATCGTTTGGTTTGTTTGTTTGTTTGTTTGTTTTGAGACAAGGTTTCATTGTGTAGCCCTGACTGTCCTGGAACTCGTGCTGTAGACCAGGCTGGCCTCAAACTCAGAGATCCGCCTGTCTCTGCCTCCTGAGAGTTGGGATCAAAACCATGCACCACCATCACCTGGCTCATGTTTAGAATCTTAATCCAATTATATTTCAGGGCATTTTGGGAGACCAATAATTCCATTTCTAAGAATATATTCTAAGGAGCCAATTTCCAATATGGACAAACAGTATTTCTACTTCCTGTATACAAAGAAGTTATGGCACATTCACAGCTTGTTATACCACACAGCTGTTTTGGGTGTTGTTCTTTGAGACAGGGTCTCCCAACATCAGCCAAGCTTTCTCAAACTCCTGCATTCAAACAATCCTGCTGCTGTCTACCCAGTAGCTGGTGCCTGGGACTGATGGTGTGTGTCACTATGTGACTCCATATGACTGTGTCTAATGAGTGACTCTTGGTTTATTTTTGTTGTAGTAGCTCACTCTGTAGCTCAGGCTGGCCTTGAACTCACAAAAATCCTCCTGCCTAAGCCTCTCGGATGCTGGAGTTACAGGTGTGAGACAAGATGACAGCCGTAAATGTTCATCAGAATTCTTACTGGAAGGGGAAAAGGACAGGCAAAGGTCCATTCACAAATGTAGTATACACAATTGTGATTATGGTGTAATCTCAACCATATAAGACGTATCTCAAGATGATATAAATAGTGCTTTTCTCCTTGATAGGATTACAGTGATCAATAACAATAAATTCTTAGTTATCTCCTCTGACAACAATGAAAATGAATGGCTTTTACTGCTTATAAAAAGAAAAATCAAGGAAACACAATGTTTTTTTTTTAAGAGCCTGAGGGCTCTTCCTTACATATTACCTATGATACACATAACCTGGTACTGAAGGGCTGAGTGCAGGCAGAAAGACTAGACATGGTTTCAAATGTGAGGACTTTTTCACCCACCTCCAGCCTATATTACAGCCTAGAAACAGCTTGAGAAACAAAATTCAAGTATGTATCCATCAGAGTTACTATGATGAAAACCTTGAGGGCTAATATAGCCTTCTACATCTTACAAGAAAAGAAGAGAGCCCGGCGGTGGTGGTGCACACCTTCAATCCCAGCACTCGGGAGGCAGAGCCAGGCGGATCTCTGTGAGTTTGAGGCCAGCCTGGTCTACAGAGTGAGTTCCAGGACAGCCACCAAAACTACACAGAGAAACCTTGTCTTGAAAAACCAAGAGAGAGAGAGAGAGAGAGAGAGAGAGAGAGAGAGAGAGAGAGAGAATTTGTTAAGAAACTCCCAGATACCAAAGCCCTCTCCTCCATGCCACTTGGTAGTGCTTTGGGGACACCTGACGATGATATACACAGCTTCTGTTATGCAAGGCCCTGAACCAGGAGCCAGTATTTCACACATTGCTTCCCTGTCTTGTTGGGCCTTTGGCACCTTTACTCCACTCTGCCCAAGAAATCTTGAGGCGGAAGAACCTGCTGAAACTATAAAATGTCAGAAAGTAACCACCCAGTGTCGTGCTCTGAAGACGTATCACTGCAAAGACAGGTTCCTCCCAAGACAATCAAATATGGCTTCGCTTCTAGTCTGTGCTGATTAGGAGAGGATTCTCACCGCCCTGCAGGAAGGGCATGCCAGCCTTCTGGCCGAGTCACACTGAGTGACACCGGCCTGATCCTATTCTTAGATCCATCCTGGTTGCAGTTCTCTTTTTTGTTTGGTTTTGGTTTTGGTTCTTTTTCTGAGACAGGATCTCACTGTGTTGCCTTGACTGTCCTGGAACTCACTCTGTAGACCAGGCCGGCCTCCAACTCACAGAGATCCTTTGCCTGCCAGTGACAGTTCTTTCGAGGAGGCCCTGCTGCCACCGAGACCCACACCTACCCAGCTGTGTCTGCTGTCTGGGACCCATAACACCCGTAACACCAGCAGCCTGGGCTATTGGTCACAGGTGTGTCAGAGGCAAACACAGACGAGCAGTGAAGGTTTCCCCACTTTACCTTCCAGAGTCCTTTCCTCCCACTAATAAAAAGACCTGTAATAACTCAAGGTTTAGAACACCGGTTCTCAACCTGTGGGTCGCAGCCCCTAAGAAACCTCTGTCTCCAAAAAAAATTTTTACATTATGATTCGTAACAGTAGAAAATGACAGTTATGAGGTAGCAACGAAGTAATTTTTATGATTGCGGGTCACCACAACATGAGGAACTGTATTAATGGGTCGTGGCATTAGGAAGGATGAGAACCACTGGTTTAGAAATATTTTTTAAAATAAAGTTTGGGTTTAATCTGTGGATGTGAGTAAAAATAATATTATATTAGTAAATGTAAACTAAGTAGACCAGGAAGTTTGACATAATTTAGTAAATTATCAGAAACAGGCTATGAAACGGAAGTACATTCAAATCTTGACCCCTGAAGCCATCATCACTTAATATTCTTATTTTTCTTTAAAAATATATATATATATATATTATCTTATTTTTATGTGCATTTGTTTTTTTGCCATGGATGTCAGGGTCCCCTGAAACTGGAGTTACAGACAGTTGTGAGCTGCCATGTGGGTGCTGGGAATTGAACTCGGGTCCTCTGGAAGAAGAGTCAGCACTCTTAACCTGAGCCGTCTCTCCAGCCCCAATATTCTTATTTTTCAAGTTCTCATGAAACATCCCACTGAGTTCTCAACATTCAATGGCTCTTCCAGCCCAAAGTTTCAAAGTCCTTCAACAAGTCTCCCAAAGCATGGTCAAGTCTGTCAGGACGATATCCCATGCTGGTTAGGGTTTCCATTGCCGCTGTGAAACACAGTGACCAGGAAGCGTGTTGGGGAGGAGAGGGTTTATTTGACTGACACTTCCACACTGTAGTCCATCACTGAAGGAAGACAGGACAGGAACCCAAACAGGGCAGGAGCTGGAGGCAGGAGCTGATGCAGAAGTCATGGAGGGGTGCTGCTTACTGGCTTGCTCATCATGGCTTGCTCAGCCTGCTTTCTTACAGAGCCCAGGGATGGCTCCACCCACAATGGGGTAGGCCTTTCTCCATTGACCACTAAATGAGAAAATGCCTTACAGCTGAGTAGTGGGATTTGCTCCTCCGATGGCAATGGGCTATAGGACCCAAGGGCAGCGATGCTTCTTGCCATTGTACTTGACTTCTTAAAGGAAAGGGAGAGGGGTCATGAGCCCCTTCTCCCTTCTCCCTGCTTCCTGGTCTGATCGAACTGCCAGGTGAATTGACTCCTGGTCAGATCAGAGGATGACTTCAGCTGTCTACTCCAATAGGTATTCAAGAGTATATTTCCTCAATTTACATCTTTTTTGTTGTTGTTGTTTTGTTTTGGACAGGGTTTCTCTGTGTAGTTTTGGTGCCTGTCCTGGCATTTCCTCTGTAGACCAGGCTGTCCTTGAACTCACAGAGATCTACCTGCCTCTGCCTCCCGAGTGCTGGGGTTAAAGGCATGCACCACCACCTCCAGGCTCTCAATTTATATCTTAATAAATCCCTATTATTCATTAAGTAGACTCACATAGATTGATCTTAACACAGCTGGATCTCATGGAGGCATTCCCTCAGCTGAGGCTCCTGCCTCTGATAACTCTAGCTTGTATGAAGTTGACATAAAAAACATCGAAGTATAGTGGATTAACATGTATAGATTTAAAACACTAACCCGGACCTTACCCTCTAAACCTAAGTCAAATCATAATGCAGAACCCTAGCATAAACCTTAATCCCTCTAATCCTAAACACAACCTTACAGGAACCATTAATCCTAACTCTAAGCCTGAACCTAATCTTGACCCTAGCTGTAACCCTGTCTAAACCTAACTCTGAAATTAACCCTATACTAACTCTAACCCACTGGAACCCTAACCCTAACCTCTAATCCTAAATCACTGTAACCCTAACCCCTAGCCCAGCCTTAACTCTAACCTCTAACCCTAACACTAACCCACTGTAACCCTAACCTCTAACCCTAACTCTCTAATCCTAACCCCTAGCCCAGCACTAACCCTAACCTCTAACCCTAACTCTCTAATTCTAACCCCGACCCCTGCTAGAATACAAGTTTCCAGAATTAGATACGTTTTCGGTTTTCTGTCTTTCCATTGCTTGCTGTGTTCTTTTCATTTTTGTGATTAAATAATATTTCACCTCATCCGGGTGGACCGTAGTTTACCCATTTTTTTTTTTTTTTAATTTATTTATTACGTATACAGTGTTCTGTCTGCATGTATGCTTGCAGGCCAGAAGAGGGCACCATGTGGTGCTGGGAATTGAACTTGGGACCTCTAGAAGAACAGTCAATGCTCTTAACCTCTGAGCCATCTCTCCAGCCCAGTTTACCCATTTTTAACCAAGAGATGTCTTCATTGCTTCTGAATTTCAGCCATTCTGATTAATGCTCCCATAATCAACCTAATGCTTTCTGTGCAGATATTAGCTTGCTCGAAACTTGTTTACATTACGAACAAGGATATGATTGCTGGATCTTATGGTGAGAGTTTGGCAAAATAAATAAATAAATAAATAAATAAATAAATAAAAAATAGGGACAGAATTGAAACATCAAGTTTAATTTATAAAATAATCCAGGTTTTTAAAATTTTTTTATTTAAATTTATTTTATGTGCATTTGTGTGAAGGTGTCAGATCCCCTGGAACTGGAGTTACAGACAGTTGTGAGCTGCCATGTGGGTGCTGGGAATTGAACCTGGGTCCTCTAAGAGCAGCCAGTGCTCTCAACTGCTGAGCCATCTCTCCAACCCCAAATAACCCAGTTTTTAGAGCAAGACTGCACACCCTTTGTTTTACCTGCCTTTGTCTCTCCGTCAGCTAGTGGGTAGGGGATGGCATGGGAGCCCATGAACGGGACAGGAGAGGGGGCTATGAAGTGTGTTTGAGAGGATCCACACCACATGGGTCTGTGCTCCAGCTCTTCCTCAGCACACTGGCCAACTTCCACTCCTGGGAGTGCTTTTCCTTTCTTAGTCAGTGTCTTTATTTCTAGTCTAAGCACGTGTCTCTGATGCAGTCCCTTTCTCTGGAGTACAGGAGCTTGGGATCAAAGGCCCACTGAATTGAGATTCCCCAAAGCATCACTGGGAACCAGGACCCTCCTCACACTCCATAAAAAGACCCCTGGAGACTCAGTAGCTGATTTTCCAACTTCGTAAACTGGGCATCAGACCACAATGGTGGGCGCACCAATTGAGCACAGAGATCCGTATTTACAACGCTAACACAGGTCCCTTCTTTTTCCTCGCTGACTGAGTAACAAGGCAGGTACAATCTTACGTGCCATCCAGGTCTTACCGTTCCCTCTGCCACTCGTTTCTTTCTTGACGACCACTATGCATGGATTCATCTCTGTGTTTTATATGCCGCTTATGTTAAAGCTGATAGCCATATGACATTGTCCATCTGCAGGGCAAGCTTTGCCGTTAATAATCTTTTACTCTAAATTTTTGGGTTTTTTTGTTTGTTGTTTGTTTTTTGTTTCTTGGACAGGGTTTCTCTATGTAACCTTGGCTGTCCTGGAATTCACTTTGTAGACCAGGCTGGCCTCGAACTCAGAGATCTGCCTACCACTGCCTCCCGAGTGCTGGGGTCAAAGGCATGCTCTACCATTGCCTGGTTTAATTTTTAGTTTTGATGGTGAAGAGGGTATTAGTGGAGTTTGAGCTGGGATAGCAAGTTTGGCAAGCTGCCAGTAGGTGGCCAGCATTTCCTGTTCTTTGGTGGCTCTTCCTAAACTAACTGAGTATTTTGACTTAGAAATGAACCATTTTATTTCATTTCTTGCAGACATTTCCCCCTGACACTCCCTATTCTAGCTGTCTGACCATTTATGTCAAAAGACCACCATGCTTTGTTCTTCCATAGTGGGACAATTAATCAACCAATAAACATTTCAACAGTAGGGGAACACGCTCTCAGACAAAGGATCAGAAAGCGTATCTCAGAAGGGAGGATTAGCGGGTGGGTTTCTTCCCGACTCTCACGTGTTGCTGTAATGCTTGTCTGCCAGAAGAGGTGGCTCCTGTTCTCTGACGGCCTGGACCTCTCCTGATGTTTTGTGCATTTAGGTGAGTTCTGCTTGAGGAGAGCTCTCTCTCCAGTGATCACAACAGTCGATTATTGTGAAGCTGGCAACCCCTGGCTACCACGCTGGCGGCTGACTCACTGTGTAAAGTGCTAATTTTAGTAATGTATGTGTTTGTCCTTCAGCATTGAGATCTTTTCTGCCTGGAGACATCTCAGACCTCGGGCACCTCTGACAACAGATTCCTGTTGGGCTCCTCCACCACAGAGCACAGATGTGCTAATTTTACTCCAGGAACGTCTTTGGTCCTCCAGTCCCAGAACTGCAAGATAATAAATATGTTGCTTTAAGCCATACAGCTCACTGGGGGTTATTACAGTGGCCACCGGAAACCAACAACACATCGCTCAACGGTCTTCTTTTCCTTGACTTATTATCATTATTACATTATCATACTGATCTGTACATGAGACAATAGGTCAAGTACGAAAAGACATCTAATATCTGCTGATCCTCAAGACAGTCAAATCCAAGCACGTTTCTGAGTGTGCCCAACACCAAACCATTCTGCGAATTAATAAAAACAAATTATGGTTTTTCTCCAAGACTTTAGACAAGGTGTAAGAACTGCAATCCTATTTTACATCAAAACCATAGAAACATGCCCACCAGGCGGGCGGTGGTGGCACATGCCTTTAGTCCCAGCACTCAGGAGGCAGAGCCAGGTGGATCTCTGTGAGTTCGAGGCCAGCCTGGTCTATAGAGCAAGATCCAGGACAGGCACCAAAACTACACAGAGACACCCTATCTCGAAGCACCAAAACTACACAGAGACACCCTATCTCGAAAAACCAAAAAAAAAAAAAAAGAAAAAGAAAAAAGATAAAAGAAAAAAAAAGAAAAAGGAAAAAGAAAAGAAAAGAAAAAAAAAGAAACATGCTCAAAATTTGCTTCTTCTCAGTCTCAGGGAGGAAGCAGGTGCCACAGTCCTGTGAGGACAGCAGAGAGAAGCCTCCCTCCACCAGCGTGGCTTGTTGGTCTGGTCACACTGGGTTCTGTCATCTAAGAATGGACCTTATAGTCATCTTTGTCCTATAGCCTCTCTAAGAAATAAAATTGTTTCTGAAAACACATTTCCTGGAGATTTAAAGACTAGTGCTGAGGAGAGAGCTGTGAGCTGTTTGAGAAGAGCCATGGCCTGTAAGCCCAGTCATCAGCAGCTAATGTTGGTAACTACAGAGCTATGAAGAGCTGTGGCTGCCCCTCCGATCCCCCGCTGCTCTAAGAAGGTCTGTGGGCATGGCTGCCCCTCCGACCCCCCTGCTGTTCTAAGAAGGTCTGTGGACTTGGCTGCCCCTCCGATCCCCCGCTGCTCTAAGAGGGTCTGTGGGCATGGCTGCCCCTCTCATCCCCTGCTACTCTAAGAAGGTCTGTGGACGTGGCTGCCCCTCCGACCCCCTGCTGCTCTAAGAAGGTCTGTGGGCATGGCTGCCCCTTTGATCCCCTGCTGTTCTAAGAAGGTCTGTGGGCATGGCTGCCCCTCTCATCCCCCGCTGCTCTAAGAAGGTCTGTGGGCATGGCTGCCCCTCTGACCTCCTGCTGCTCTAAGAAGGTCTGTGGACAGAGGGTGAGGCGCTCTGGCCCTGTCACCTAGCGTGGCTCATCCCTATTGCTTCGTTTCCTCAAGATTCAGTCACTATAGTAACAGGCTAGATGGAAAGATGGCTCTGGCATCGATTTTGCTCGAACACACACCACCGTTCAAATGTCAGCCCAATGCTTGTCCTTTGGTGGGACAGTGCTGTTCACCAGAAAGGCAGCTAGGCATTTCCTGTTCCCTAGCCTAGCTAAGGAGAGAGCTCACCTACATGTGCATCTGCCTACATAAAGCTACAACGGGCTAAGATGTGCTGATGGTGAGTAAAATAAAAACATTAAAACATTACTGAACTAATGATGCAGTTTTGTAGAGGGGTCCCATTCCACACTCTCTGATTTTTCTTTCTTCTGACCCTTGAAGTTTTTGTGGTAAATAGAAGGAAAGTGCCATCAAGTTCCATGCAGGGGGAGGACCCCCCACCCCCCTAACAACAGCACCAGACTTGGTTCTTAACTGAGGCTGCTTTCCACAGAAGTTGTTCAACCTCCATGCAGCGCCTCACAGAGCCTCGCAGCCTGCTTTGAACAAAGTCTAAAGCACTTAAGGGCAGAACACCCACCCCCAGAACACCCACCCCCAGAACACCCACCCTAGCGCATTTCCTCTTTCTGCCCCCCACTGGAAGCAGGAACTGAGCAGCAAGCACACGGAAAGCCATTATCTGGGACACCTGGAAGGTAATCGCAAGGGCTCTTTCTGACTGGGCGGGAGGGTAGGCGCCACCCTGACACTCACCATAATAAAAATGCCACTCTCCTAATCCCAGGGCAGCTGCCTTCCTTATATGGAGCGTGCGTGGAGGGGACAGAGATCTCCCCTCTGACCCGAGATTAAATTGCTGGTTACACGTTCTGCACATTGCCCAGGTGAAAGCCCTGAAAAAAGAACCACAGTTCACACTTTGCATGCAAAGAAATGTAAGCAAATTCCCTCTTCTCAGTGTCCGTAGGGAAGTGATGTCACCTGGGCTCAGCAGTGTCCTTGGCATGGTCCCACATTCCCCTAACCTGAATGTCTGTTGGTTTCCTGCTAAGAGGGCCACTCCTAAAAAGGCAGAGTTCAACGTGTGACCCTGATCTCTTTGTATTCCATTTAAGGAGCTGTCTGGTTGGTCACACATCCATTGGTACTATGACATGACCTCATTGGCATAAGCATGTGCATTTTCACTGAACTGTGTCCACCTCCTCTTGCAGAAGGGAGAAGGTCAAAGGTGACATCAAAGCCAAAGCCACAAGATACCACACCTGGGCCAAAGTTGGAGGGCCGGCAGGAGGCTGTTGGCTATGTTTCAGTCACTCTGCCCTAGAGCTGTTCCCTCTTTCTCAATAAAAACACTACCTAAAGCACAGGACCATTTTCCTGTTTCTACAGTGAGGGACCTTTTGGAAGGTGGCTGTGGGTCAGCACACAGGGACAGGCAAGGTTTAGCTGCTTCAGAGAGTGAGTGGTAGGGTGCTACGTGTAGCATCTGCTGGAACTACACTTCTTTGCATCTGCATCGCCCATTTGGTTGTGTTTAGAATTACATCACTGAGCATGTCTTTAAGGGCTTCTCCAGAGAGGTTTAACTCAGGAGGGAAGACATGCTCTGAATGTAGGGGTCACTAACTCATGGCTGTGGTCCTGGCCTAAAGAACAAGGAGGCCAAAAGCTGAGCACTGGCACTTCTCTCTGCTTCGTGACTGTAGACACATGACCCGCTTCACGTTCCCGGTGCCATGACGTCCCCCGCCATGATGGGCTATAATGCCCTCTCCAGCCGTGACCCCGGATAACCCCCACTTCCTTAAGCTGCTTTGGTAGAGGTCTTGTCGAAGCACCGAGAAAGTTATTAGTGTCCAAAGCGTTGTCATTTTGTCCGTGGTGTGTTCTGGCCCCATCCTGGCCAGGCTCTGGACCTGGGTGACTCCTAGAGTGAACCTGATTCACTCCAAGTGCTTGTTGCTTAGCTACCCTCCCAGCTTCTACAGGTTTTGTGTGGAGGGTAAAGACGGAGGTGGAGTACAGACTCCAGGAAGGCTGGAGCTCAGCCCTAGCTGAAAACAGCTTCACCTGTGAGGTGAGGGTGAGGGTAGGGTCAGGGGTCAAATCTTTCCTGGATGGGTGGGCGGTGTTGGCGCACGCCTTTGATCTCAGCACTTGAGAGGCAGAGGCAGGTGGATCTCTGTGAGTTCAGGGAACTCACATAGCAACATAGACCGGCCTGCTCTACAAAGCGAGTTCCAGGAGGGCCAGAGCTGTTACACAGAGAAACCCTGTCTGGAAAAACAAACAAAAACAAACAAACCTTTCCTGGATAAGCTATCATCCAAACACTAGTTTCCTTTCTTAGATTTTTATTTATGTTTTTATAATTTATTTATTTTAATTTTATATGCATTGGTGTTTTGACTGCATGTATGTCTGTGTGAGGGTCTCAGATCTTGGAGTTATAGACCGGTGTGAGCTGCTATGGGAGTGCTGGGAATTGAACCCGGGTCCCCTGGAAGAGCAGTCAGTGCTCTTAACCGCTGAGCCATCTCTCCAGCCCCAGACTTTTATTTTTAATTGTGTGTGTGTGTGTGTGTGTGTGTGTGTGTGTGTGTCTGTCTGTCTGTCTGTCTGTCTGTTTGTGGGTATGCTCATACAAGTGCAGGTGCCCGCAGAGGACTCTGGATCCCTGGAGCTGTAGTGACAGGTAATTAATTGTTCACTGTCTGAAGTGGGTGCTGGGAACTGAACTTGGATTCTTTGTTACAGCAAAGTGCGCTCTTAACCAATGTGCTCTCTCTCCAGCTCCTTTTCCATTACTTGTTTTCTTTACATGTCAGTTGAAAACTCAGACATTGGAACAGAGTTTATGGACTTAAAAAGAGGCAAGTATGAACCAGGCATCACAGTGCACACCTGAAATCCTAGCACTCCGGACACTAAGGCAGAAGGGATTGAGTTAGGACAGCCTAGGGAGACTTTGTCTTAACTTCAACAACAAAATTAAAAAGATGAAAATGAGACAAGAAAGGACCGCTCTCACACCAGCTTCCACTGGAGGCAGAGCTTTCTCCCCTGGAGTCTGCCAGCCTGCCACTAAGTTTCCCTCCATGACAGGCTAATAGGTAGCAACACAGGAAGACATGTCACTTGTAATAGTAGGAACCACAAAGTACGTTGGCTTTAATGGCTCGATTGCCCTTCAGTCAAAGGAGGAACATCTATACAAAGTATGTTATTTACTTTCTCTAGATTTAAATATAGCTGAGTATTCTCCACGCACTTTTCTTTTAGCAAGGCGAGATCGTATCTGGAAATACTCATCTTTCTTTTTGCTTTTTGCCTCTGCTTCTTATCACATGACGGGGCTCTCACTATGGACAGAGTAGCCACACTACATGAGAAGAAGTAGACTTGTTAGAGAAATGAAAAGCAATGAGGAAGGGTTAATGCCTCATTCCTTAAGCTTCCAGCCAGGAACAGGTCAACAGGAGAAAGCAAGCTAGCACCCAGCAGGCCAGGCTTTGTCCATACATGGGCACTCCCGGGGCCACTTCCTTATTGCACCCCGCTTGTTCTCTGCAGTCCTGAACTTTGGCATTTCCATTAAGTCCCCTCCCAGTAACTGAGGCTTAGGGCCTCTCCCTGTGCTCACGTGGAACTGGGTCGTTCAGGAGCCTGTCCTGATACCAAGAGACACTTATCTGGAGTTCAGCTGGAGAAATCCAACTTTCTTTCTCCTCATATTTCTTTGTCTTTTAACATCAGGAGGATGCTCACAGAGAATCCTCACATTCAGGTGGAACCATCATATTGTATCAGTCTGCCCATTTCAAGGAGACCCTAGGAGACCCTGAGTTATGTTCTCACTGCTCTGCCATTTCCTCTTCGATGGTCAGGGTATATTGTGATGTCAGTGCCCTGAGCAGATCCAGTCATATGCATTTTCTCTCCTTAAACATGAGTAAATATGGTTTAATTTGTTAAAATCATGTGGGAATAAAAGGCAAGAAAGGGAAGACATCTCATAGCTAAATCTCGGCAGATAAACCTACTTCCTCATGGCTGGAGGGAACTGCCACCCCGTCAGTAGTTAATCAGATATGCAAATTGCTTTAGATGCATTAAGTACAAAAGTTAGGCAGTCAACAATGGCAACTGTCTTTTCATGCTCCTAGTGTGAGTGTGCTGTGTCAGAAACAAAGATCCTCTGTCTTTCAACAATGTTAGAGTTTATTGGATAACAATAAATTCACAAGGTACAGCAGTTTGGATGGCATCAATTTCTACTTAATCCTGCTTTCCTGGGTCATCTGGCTTTCAGCACTGACCCGTGTTCTTTCATTCCCCTCCTCACGTTAACTCTCATATCACGTATCACACAGCAAATGTATCTGTATGTGTGTGGGGTGGGGTGGGGGTGGCTTATACAATGTGTGCAAAACGTGAAGAAGGTTCCTGTAAGTTCTGCGTGGTTTCAGATGTAGGCTGATTAGTCTGTTTTGATAAGAAAACAATCCACACCAGCTGTGGTGAAGAAGCTGCTCCTCTCGAGTCAGGCTGCTCCTGAAGCACAGCTGTGCGGTTTACTTTGGCTGCAGAGATCAAAGGGAAGGACCTGGACCAAATGAATGTACAGAGAGGAGGAGGGTGGATGGATGAATGGACAGATGGATGAACAGATGGATAGACAGACGGATGGATGGATGGATGGATGGATGGATGGATGGACGGACAGACAGATGGATAGACTGATGGATGGATGGACAGATGAATGGATGGACAGATGGATGGATGGACAGATGGAGGAATAAATGGACAGACAGATGGATAGACAGATGGATAGACAGATAGATGGATGGACGGATGGATGGATGGACAGATGGATGAATGGATGCATGGATGGATGGGAGGTCCAGATAGGAAAATAGAAAGTCAGGTAGTAGTTGAATAGGCCACATCAGTAGCAGGGTCCAAGAACAGCTGACTTTCCAAAGACACTCAAGACAGTCATGAGTTGCCCTGGATAGTCAGATGACAGGTCGGGGCCATTACTATCATAGTGTTGGGTATCCACCTCTTTATGAGGTCCAGGTGAGGGAGTCACACCATTTCTTCCATCTAATGTGTCCCACAAGTTCCTGGGCCTAACTTCCCGATATAACTTTAATATGCCCATGTAGTCTTACAGCCTCAATTCACCCTGATAAATTCAAAGAGTAGAACCTACTTGACTCTTAAAAAAAAGTCATTTATCAGTTTCTGCTGCCTGGATGGTCCTGGACAGACACTGTTGTTTACCTGTGTGCTCAAGTACATTCTTAGTCTCCATCCTCAAAACGGAGTCTCTCAGGGCAGGGCATGGTCTGAAAAAACAGTTTTTTATATAAGACAGGGTAACCTGGAGCAGGGTGCAGCCTGTGCTCTGAACAGGTCCTTTCCATGGAACCTGAAGTTAGTCTAAGTAGCTTCCTGACCTACCGGCAAAGCTCAGTTCCCTGGGTTCTCCAAACTGGCTTGCCTTAAAGTTTTTCTGTGATAACCAAGAAACATGCAGATGTATCTGGGCCCCTGGCCTAGTGTTGCTTTAGTTTAGGAGAGTGGAAAAGTTCTAGATTATTCCAGCAGAGAACTCACAAAGCTACACTTGGTATTTGTCTTTCTCTATCCCTACATGCTGGACCTTCAGTAGTAATGCCTTCACGGCTGGACTGTATCGCTTATATACACTGGGTTCTACATTTGGGGCAAAAATAAAGAGACAAAATGGTTGACTTCTTGCTGTTCTTTGTTTTACTTGTGCACCAGAGGTGGATCAAAATACTTAGACTAGAGGTGGAGGGTTGTGTACTAGAGGTGGAGGGTTGGTCACCAGGCTGGAAGTGCCTCCCTCCGTGCCATTAGCCATAAAAAATGAACTTGGGTCCTATATGCACTGAAGGAAGTTCTGGCCTCATTAAAACAAAACAAAACAAGACAGAAAAAAAAACCAACAATAACTTTAGCCTCAAAGCCCAACCCAGGGTGCCAAGTAACTATGTAACAGGAGCAGGCTCTGGTACTCTAGGATCAGTGGCCACAGGGAAGAACCCGTCTGGTGTATGAAGGAAAGAAAGCCACGTTTGAAGTGCAGACTCCAGCTCTGAGCAGCCTGCTGTCCCTGTATTCATATACTCCACTAAGCCAGGAGCTTTATTTGCCACAAGGCTGTGCCAATGGTCCCTTTCAGTTCAAAGGAGTCTGCTCCTTAGTTTATTGCTTGTATCTCAAGGCAACACAGTAATGAGATAAGAACATCGCCATGGAAACAATAAATACACAAGTGAACACTGATACCATGCTTGATGTGACCTTGAAATCCAGATGTGTTCCTGGCATGTCAGGAACAGGTGTGTTGTTTAGATGGGGTTTCAAGTTGGGGTCATTAGCTAAACATCCCTCAAGAATCCCAGTATGGGGCACATGGAACGTGGGTCCCTGTCCCATGTCAAGGTGTCAGGGTGGTTTATTTCTTGCCACAGCATTAATGTAATATGGAAAGATGTAGCCTTTGCATGTTGAGTAAAGACTCCATTGAATATGCTATGCTCCGAGTTCCAGAGAGGAAACACAAAACAAGGCTATTCCCAAGGCCATGCAAAGTCACCCTCAGGACACACAGGTCCTTAGCTTACCACCACGCTATGCCCCAGGAGGCATGAACACCAAGGTACCTGTGCCCAGCAATACCCACCTTGTCACCATGACCCTGACACCTGAGTGTTAGGTGCCCTTTTTCCAGGAGGGAAGATTTCAATTCAGAAGAAATAGATAGCTACAGAATATATTCAACATACTTAAAAAAAAAAAAAGCTTTTTAATCTCTCTCTCTCTCTCTCTCTCT